CCAATATTTTGAAATATTGTTATGGAATATTTGTTGCCTAATTTGTAGGGTCATTGTTCTGTAATATTCATTCCATATTTAGGAATTGTAATAGAAAATTTGTTCCTAATATTTCGGAAGATTGTCATAAATTCGTTCTCGATATTTTGAAATAATGCTAAAGGCTATGGAATATTTGTTGCCTCGTTTTTTAGGATCATTCTGTAATATTCATTCCATACTTAGGAATTGTAATGGAAAATTCGTTCCGGATATTTTGTAACATTGTTATGGAATATTCATATCATTATATTATTGATTGATTATTATATTATATTATATTACTGTATATTATATTATATTATATTATGCCTATATTATTGATTGACTGCCGGATCAAGGCTTTGGAATAAACTTCCTCTGAACATTGGCCTAAACAATCACCTTCACAGTTCTAGTCACACTCAAGACGCACCTTCTTCAATAATCTCTTCTTTTTTTGGAACGGCACCACGAGGAACGACTGTTTGAATGGCGTCATATAAATGAAACGATTGATTGATTTATTGATTGACTGACTGACTAATTTATTGATTATGAAACAGGTTGCAGAAGGTTCGTTCCGCTTAGTAACATTTCTATGGAATATTAATTCCGTAACGGAAAATTCATATCCGTTTTTTTTTTTTAACATTGTTATAGAATAATCGTTGACTAATGGCAACAATTTCGAAAAAGTTGACCTAATATTTAAGATCATCGTTAATGTATTTATTCATTTAATTTTTGTTTACTCCGGTATAAAGACACAGGTGTAAACTTAGTCAACAGCAAGGGCTGAAACGACGTAGAAACATAAACATTGGCATCACATCACTTTCCTTGTACATGTAATAAAAAATAAAAAACAACACCATACTTAACAAGATTCAATTTCAAATGATTAAATTACATTTCAGTATAATTAATATAAAAATAGTATGTATATCCGTAGTTATTCCGTTTGACCTATTTAGGACCATCATTAGTATCATCCGTTCAATAGGCTTACTCTTCAGGTAAACTTCATGGGATGTTCCCATATTACCAGTATTATGGTTCATACGTCACGGTATAGGCACATTCATAAATGTATTCCCTTTACTGTATTAGGCCCTATTTTTTACTCATCCCCTACATTCAAAATTAGCCCTTTTTACAAGGGTCTCACAGAGATTGAATTCCAGCCTGGAGAGGAAGCAAAATCGGACGCAATGTAACAACTCTTCTATACTCACTGTGTTCCCATCACAATAGCAGGACATGCAGTGACTGTTGCGGGATTTGTAAGGGTCGAGACCCCGAACTGTATCGATTATCACTCCTCTATTTCTATACAAAACCGTTAAAATCAATATTTGTCTCATCTGATTATAGTATCCTGGTTTAGGATATCTTAAAAATGTTGATTTTTTTTATCAGTCATGAAGTACAGTATATGACTGCTCCCTGCCTATATTGATAAATAATAGTACAGCATAGAAGCATAGATGCGCACTGATAACCTTACCACACACTGCTCCATAAATGAAGGTGTTATGAAGCTGACGACGATGAAGGATGATGATGACGATGATGTCGATGATGATGATGATGGTACCTACGATGTCGAAAATAAAAGTGATGATGATGATGTGATGATGTCAATGATGATGAGGATGGTGATGAAGACTCTGACGTTAATGATGATGACACTGTTGTTTTGATAATATTATTAAAATGATTCTGTTGCTGATAAAGAAGACTAAAATTATAATACGGAGAAGACGAGGATCACATAGCACATTAATAACATTCGGCTTATTATCATTACTATCATCATCATCGTTATCATCATTATTGTTGTTACTGTTGTTGTTGTTGCCACTGTGTTGTTGTAATAACAATTCTATCTCACAGCGTTGTCAATTATGTTACATCACTGACCTTAGTCCGATCGCTATAGGTTAACGACAGTTAAATAAACTCTACAGACAAATGCAATATATATGTCTTCAATACCTATTGTTGCTATAAAAAAAAATAAATGCAAAAAACGTCATAGGTGAAGGATGACGTAATGCACTTGGGGTCTGAATGATGTCAATTACAACATAACCTAATCATTGGTTAGACACAGCGGATGTTTATTTGGTAGGCCCCATAAAAAGTGATTAGTTTATTACCTAGGCCTATCCGGGAAGAAAATTGATGAGGCGGACGTGTTTCTTTTGCCAAATCCGAATAATGTCTACCCCAGTTTGCTAGTAAGTTAATGGTCAAAATCAAATACATAATAATATTATAAGGTATGATTTTTAAAAAACGGGTTTACATTTAAATGAATTTTCACAAAAGTGATAGGAACCTTTAGCAGAGAAAATTCTTTCTTAGCATTAGAAAGCTTGTGGCATTCGCACCAACATATTGTTATCTGCTCCAATTGTTTTTGATTTTCCTTTCTTTTACACCACATCCAGAATATGACTTTGAATGACGCGGATGGAGACGTTGTATATCGCGTGACTGAGGATGTTTCCCGTCAATCTACGGGATTGTATGTAGACAGTTATGTCACTCAAGTATTGCTAAGTTTCATAAAATAGAAACCCCCTACTATTGACATGTACGAGTTTGTGTTTATATAGGATTAAATATGAATATTTATTATATTATATTTATTGAATATAGTTACTGTATGTGTTATGTTATTGTATATACTTGCTTAAATGTTCTAACCACACGATTATGCCACGCGACAGGCCTCAATATACCATACCCACATGTAGGCCCTTTGACCACAGTGCAGTAAATCACTGTCTATTTGATTTTAGACTCAACCCGATGTTAAGTTTAGAATCGAAGAGAAACAATTCGTTTTAATATTTACATTGTTTTAACATGAATCAAAGGGAAGAAGTGGAAAACAGAAGAAATACAACATTCCAGCACGGCACAATGATGTACAGCAGAATGCACGAGGTAATGACGTCGTCTTGTAATTTTGTTGTTGAAATATTCTGCGCAAGTCTTTTTCAGAAAGGTTCTTGAAGAGTATACTTGATATTTTTCCTGACTGTTCGCATGAATTTGTCTTTCTGAATCCATTATTTCGGATTTGTTCAACACTACTTAGTAAATATTACACTTTGCTATTGATGTTCCTCCAATAAATCAGCATATGAGGCGTGGTCACGTTGATATGCAAATTACGTCTTCTGATCTATGCTACGAGATCGGATTAATGTATTTCCTCGGCGACACATAGATATTTGAATCGTATGTATGCTGCAGAGGAAATCATTTTGATGTTGAACAATTTTGCGATTCGAAATGCGATTCAATTTACGTGACACGATATAGAGAACGGGGTCACATTGGATCCGCGCTCTTTCATAGAACAAGTAGGCCTATGCGCAAATATTTCCTGTTTAAATGACCGTACAATTATTCTTTCTATGCAGACATTTAAAATACGATAAATCACATGGTGACAATAAATCAAATTATGAATAAAGTAAAACTGACAGTCCAGATTGATCGCATGGTATCGGTGCGTACACTGGTATCACGCGCGTGCTACATTATAGCCAATCACAAGGTGGAGACATTATTAGGACGTTTACAATTTTTAATAAATATAGGCACAAAAAAGGATTAACGTGGGATAAAAAAAATCATGAACTCGTGGGAATGTCACTTTAAGATACGATTTGTACTGTATGTGTAATTTTGTTATATTAAATGTGTGAGAGGGGGGTCTCTTCTGCAATACCAGATAATTTCCACCTGGAAGTTTTATCCCCAGAATGCCAACACAACTCTATTATGAAATTACAAAATTACACGAAATAAACACAGACGTTGATGTAGCGCCACGTGTTGTTCGTCCAGCTACCACGGACATATTACGTGCATTTTGTATTCGCACATTAATAAGGCAATTGTATGACGTAATACATTGATGAGTGAAAATGCGTGTGAATAACAAATACATAGGCCTGATAATTTCATTACTTAGGTCACAGTTGATCAATAATAACCAATAGCCATTGCAGACATAATGGCAGAGACGAACAGGTCCGATTAGAGATTCTACAATAGATAAATGCGTAACCTTTTATAAAAGGCGTTTTCTATTTCTATGAACATTACAATCTAAGACATTCACCACTGCATCGACTGACCTAAACATCTTCACTTATTTGACGAACATTTTCCCCAAAATACCTAACTTAATTCATGGTAATTTGAAATATACGTGGACAAGGAAATTAATCATCTTTAATTGTTTTATATTGCCTTCACTTTATCCTTTCTCTTGGGCAGAGCTAATATGCTTGACATTTTTTGTGTGTTTTAACAGTTCCCATGCCAATCAGTTAGCGAAGCTGTTTACATCGAAGGGGTGGGATGTGAATATGCATGTTTGTTTTGTTTTTTTTATTATTATTTATTCATTTGCACGAACCAAATATTCGTGTGCACTCGGTATAAATAGATTTTTCCCCAATAAATTGAATTTAATTAAGGTGGGTGAATCTTTCAGAGAACTGTAATTATTAAGTAGCGTTTAATGACAGCAATGCCATCCACCTCTGTCGTTTCTTTTTAGATAGAAAACAAACTTAAAAAGGCCTAGATAAAGGATTGATGGCTTATATTTAAACTATAGATAGGCGTGGGAGCAATTTATTATGAAGATCATAAAATAAATACACTTCAAATTTATAAATATTGCGATAAACTAATGTCCTTATGACTATTATGCTAATAGATTTCTGCGAAAATGTGTACCCCGAGCCTCTGTGTAGGCCTCAGTGAGTGTCGCGTGGGTTTCTCCGTGAGCGTGTTTGCGTAACACAGTGGCACACAAGTTACGTGACACCAAGGAGTTAGTCACGATAAGAAAAAAAACGTCCCATTCCCAATCGTAACGCTATGATTTAAGGGTGATAAAAATAATTACAGTAAACAAAACAATTAAATAATATGGCACTTACAGTTCTTCAATATAAGCATGTATATCGGGGTCATCCTCAAAGATTGGGAGTGATGGCAGTGTGTTGAGATCATCACATTCAATTCTTAATTCCATCAATGGACAATCGCAATTTTCTGGACAGGCTGATAGAGGCGTGACCATGTATAGGCTGGCAATCCAACTGGCAAACACGTAGCCTAGTACACGCTCCATGTTGCCTACGCCAGACGCGTAAAAATACTCCAATAAGAACACCTAGGCTTAGGCCAAAAATCTGAAGAAATGCCAATATCCTAATGAATTAGTAGTTTCCTTGCGACATCATTGTCATTAGTCGTTACATAGATTGTTTCAGAAGGTATGACAAGCCGCAGAATATATTTTTCCAGTCAATTCAATCAAGTGTTGTCCAAGGGCAGTAATAATACATGACAGTGCGCTACGTACGGTGTCTCTATGCTAAATAATAAGACTGCTTGAATTCAATGTATTTGTCCTTGTAGATAGAGTCTGGTGCATTGTTTTTCTACTAATCGTACGGCGTTGAAATCACAATGATTATTACAGGGTTGAATAGGAAAGTAGATAAACGTATTTCATGTAACAACCTCGCCTTCTTAGCATAAATGCTACCACAAAAAACCCTGGATAAACGGCTGTAAAGAATCTTTTATGCGAAATATTTCATAATTTAATGTGCGTTCAACAAAAGTGCCGACGATTTTCAGGCAAGAATGACACTGCTTGGAAGTTGCCGGTAAAACTGACTTTTTTTTAGTTGCGATGAATTGCATGGAAAGACAAATCTCCGCGGTGCATTGCACAATATGAATAGTATTATTACTAAGATTTGCCGGCAAATTCACGCTAGATATGTTCCGTACAGCTTACCAGAGCGAAGCACTCAATGTCTTTGAAGTCGGCAACCTGACCATCGCATTCCCACTAACTCCGCGAAGCGTACATCTTTCGTCGAGACAAAAGACACTCAGCAAATCCCAGATAAATAAATTAGGCTTTGTTGTTTTATTTCACCACTGATTTCCGTGCGTTCTCCTATTTGCAATGCCGGTGCCTATCGAATGCTCTCTAAAATTTACCGATGCTGGAGACCCCGTTAAGACCCAACAAAAACTATCGTGTATCGCTTGCCTAAACACGGGACAATCTGCAGAGCACATTAATTTAATAATTCAGTGTTTTATTCGCCCCGATTGAGCATTGCTTGAAATTATGAAGTGACGTCACACACAGGATTCCCTAGTTGTGCGTTTTCAAGGGCATCTAATGAGTTCTTTGTGATAATTCATTTTTATTGAGGGCGCTATATCTAAAATATTGTAGCTCTAGTGTCGATAGTTTATGCATTACATTAGTAATTCCTACACAAGTTGGGCATAAAAATCGGTCGGATGGCCAAAGTGAATTTTTGATCTAACACCGAGGGCTGCACTCAAACTTTGATGTTTCCAGTGTGATTCTAAAAACCTCCAAGAGCTGCTTTTACACCACTTTATTCTTCGTTTTAATGTTACTTTTTACATGATCAGTGTCGGGCCGTAAGAAACAAGGTGTTTTCTAGCAAGTAAATGTTGCTTGTCGGGCCGAACATATAGAAATTTTTAATTCATTTTCACGGCCGCAAAAAAAAAAAAAAAAAAAAATCGCTGTCGGGCCGCACTTTGCCCACCTGTGGTTTGAGGAATATTATATTAACTTTATTAATTTATTATTATTTTATTAAGTCTCATATTGTATATGGGC